CTTATCTAGATTATATAATTTGTTGGCATAAAATTATTCATAGTATTTACTTATAACTTTTCATCTCTGTTAAATTGGTAGTAAAATTCCAACTTTCATGTATGATTTTAATAATTTGAGCCTTCTTTTTTTCCATTTGTCAATTTTGTTGATGTTTTCAAAGCATCAGTCTTTGGTTTCACTGACTCTCTCCACTGTTCTTCTAGTCTCTATTTGCTTATTCACATTCTTTGTTGTTGTTGTGATTAAATGCCAGTGAGCCAGTTCCGACCCATACTGACCCTGTATAGGGTTTACAAGGAGCAGCTGGTGAGCTTGAACCACTTGACCTTGTGGCTCAAACTGACTTACCAGCACAGCACATTAACTCACAGCAATATCTATGATTTCCTTCCTTCTGGTTACTTTGAGTTTAGTTTGCTCTTCGTTCCCTAGTTCCTCAAGGTAGAAAGTTAGGTTTTTATTTAAGATCTTTTTTTTTTAATGTAGACATTTAGAGCTACAAATTTTACTCCTAGCACTGCTTTTTACTACATCTCATAGTTTTTTTGTTTTTGTTTTTTTCCATCACATAGTTTTTAATATGTTGTGTTTTCATTTTTATTTGTCTCAAGGTGTTTTCTAATCTCCCTATGACTGCTTCCTTAAGTGTATTGTCTGGTTTTCACATTATTTGTGAAATTTCCAGATTGTATTTTGTAATTCATTTCAAATTTCACTCTTCTGAGGTCAGAGAAGATACTTTGTAGATGTTAATCTTATAAATTATTGAAACAATAACTTAAAAAAAATATTGTTTTGTGGCCTAATATATGGTCTATCCTGAAACGTATTCTATTCTGCTGCCTTTGGGTGAAATGTTATATGTTATTGCTGTTCAGTGTCATGGAGTTAGTTACAACTCAGAGCAACCCTGTATAGAGTTTCTGAGGAGCTGCTAGTGAGCTTGAACCACTGACCTTGAGGTTCAAACCGATCTTTCAGTCTAGCACGTTAACCCACAGTGCCTAGTTTACTTATAGTGTTGTTCAAGTCTTCTATTTCTTTGTTTACCTTTTGTCTAGTTGGGTGTTGACAAAATGGTATGTTGAAGTTTCCAGCTATTATTGCTGAATTGTCCATTTCTCTCTTCTATTCTGTCAGTTTTTATCTATTTTCTGGTTCTGTTGTTAGGTGAATATATGTTTTAAATGTTATGTTGGCCTGATGAATTAATCATTATATCTATGTTTGTCTCTTGTAAAAAAAGATCTTTTATGATCAGAGCTCAACCAGAAGTAAAAAGAAGAGGAAAAAAAAAAAAGTATTCTCATACAATTTGATGAACTTGACCTACACCTATGGAAGCAGTAGCTCAAAAGAGGGAACAAGTCCTTACAGCAAAAATCATTCCCACCCCCTCCACACACAGAGTAGACAGGGATGGGCAACTCGGACATTGGCTACCCAAAATGGGGGGCAGGGGGCTACAAAGGCAAGAAGTGATTGGCTTACAAGCTTTCAAGAGGGAACCTAGATCCAGAGGGTCTGGAGGAAGGTAGAACCTCCAATGAGTATTCAATCTGACTAGGCGGAGCTGATGCAATGAAATGCAGAGGGGTCTCTTGTGATACAATAGTGAATAATTGTTATCAGGACTGATTGTGAGGGTTGGAAATGTAAAGGTAGACGTTTTATAGAAAGGAGGGGAGTGATTAACTTTTCAGTCTAGGAGCGGAGATCCCTAGGACCATCAAGGGAGAAGAGCAGAGAGTGGGACCCTACCCAGAGAAGCAGTGATGCCTGAAATGGAGCCAGAGATGATGATGTAGAGCGATGGAGCAGCTGGAGACTTTAGATCCAGAGAGGGAGAGCGACTGTGTGCTGAAGACCTGAGGGGTACGGGGGAAGGATTGCATGGAGGGGATTGTAACCATGGCAATGAGACGAAATACGATAGAATGAATGTAAAACTAATGTTCTCCCATGTAAACTATCACATAATTCACAATAAAACATTTAAGAAAAAAAAAAAAAGATGTTTTAACTTTTTTCTAAAAATATACTGTCTGATATTAGTATAGCCATTCCAGTTCTCTTTTGGTTTTAATGGACTTTCTCTATCCTTTGGATTTCAATGTATCAATGTGTCTTTGGATATAAAGTAAGTCCTTTATACAGATATACTTAGATCATTTTTTAAAATTCATTTTGAAAATGTCTACCTTTTAATTAGTGTTTAACTCATTTACATTTAATGTAATTAATGATAAGAACTTGGTGGTGGTGGTGCTATTAAGTACTATTGCATATAGGGTTTCCAAGGAGTGGCTGGTGGGTCTGACTATCCCACAGCACCACACCAGGATAAGGACTTGCTTCTGTTGTTTTATTATTTTTTTCTTGTCTTATATCTTTTTTGTTCATCAATTTCATTACTACCTTTTCTTGTGTTAGACAGATATTTTCTAGTGTACCATTTTGATTCCCTTCAAGTTTCTTTTACTACATATATATTTTAGTTATTTTCTTAGTGGTTGCCTTGGAAATTATAATTAATATAATGTAAGACAATCTAGTTTAAATTAATAGCAACTTAGATTCAAGAGTATAAAAAATTTTGCTCCTATATAGCTTTGCCATACATTCTATGTAGTTATCACCACAAATTACAGTTTTATACACGTGTGTCCATTGGTATAAATGTATAATCATTGTTTTATATAGTTGTCTTTTAAATCACAAAGAAAAAAAGAGTAATTACAAACCAAAAGTACTTTAATACTGACATTTATATTTACCTATGTAGTTTCCTTTACTGGTGTTCTTTATTTCTTTGTGTGGATTAAAGTTACGATCTATCTAGTGTCCTTTCATTTCATCCCAAAGGACTCCCTTTACTATTTCTTGTGTTGTTACTGTTATTGCTGTCAAGTAGGTTCTGACTCATAGCAACTCTCTAAAGGGTTTCCGAAGACTGGCTGGTGAGTTTGAAGCTCTGACCTGGCAGTTCAAACTGACCTTGCAGCCCAGTGCATTATCCTGCAGCACCACACCACTATTTCTTGCAGGACAGGTCTAATGATGAATAATCTCAGTTACTGCTTTTCTGTAAATGTCCTAATTTCTCCTTAACTTCTGAAAAATAGTTTTGTGGACACAGAATTCATAGTTGATGGTACATTTGATGGTGTTCTACAGGGCTCTTAAAAACCAAAGCCATCAAATCAACTCCAACTCATGAGTAGAACAGCCCCAGAGGTTTCCAAAGCTGTAAATCTTTATGGTGGTAGGTTCAAACCACCAACCTTTCAGTTAGCAGTTGAGCACTGTAACCTGTGCCACCAGAGTTCCTTACAGGTCTCTTAGGCTAATTCTTTTTTCATTCTGCTCCTCAGATGGGAAGTTTCAGTTGGTATACTGATTCTTTTCTTATGCCTGCTCAAAACACCTGCTGTTAAATTTCTCCAGTGAATTTTCAATCTCAGCATTTGTACTCTTCAACTTTAGAATTTCTACTTGGTTACTTTTTATAATTTCTTTTTATTCATGTCCTCTATTTGATGAATAATTCTTATAATTTCTTTTAAAATAGTTTATTTAAAATCTTTGCCTAGTAAATCCAACTTCTGAGTTTACTCAGAAAGTTTCTTTTTTTCCTGCATATGAGCCATACTTTCTTGTTTCTTTGCATTCCTTGTAAATTTTTGTTGAACACTAGACCTTTTGAATATTAGAATGGGACAACTCTAAAATCAGATTCCCTTCACAAGGACTTCTTGTCCTTGTTGTAGCTGTTGCTTGTGTGGTGATTATTTGCTAAACTAATTTTGTAAGTTCTTTGTTACTGAAGCCTATGTTCTGTTAGCTTAGTGATTAACTAGATTTCCTAAATGTCTGGGACCAAAATCAAAACAAAAAAACTTTCCAGTCTTTGCAGATGGGCTCTGTGTATATGTTGGGGTACACCTTAAGCCAGGGTGTTTATAATTCTTAGTTTTCACTTTCTGCTTGCACAGAAAGCTACTAAGGTTTAGTAAGAGGTGAAAACTTGGGTCCCTCTCAGGTCTTTTCTAAGCATGTGTCCAGTCCTGGGCAAGCATTTAGCTTTTGAAATTTCCAAGAATATGTGAAAGCTTTTCAAAGACCTATGCTCTAAAGTCCTGGAGTCCCCTGGTGTGGCACTGTAGGATAAGCACTGGACTGCAAGGTTGGTTTGAACCGCAAGGTCAGCAGCTGTTCCTTGGAAACCCTAATAGGGTTTATGAGACAGAACCAACTCAACAGCACGTAACAGCACCGACATGCTCTTAAGTGTCTCATTTTTCAAGCTTTCTTCCCAAGTTTTTTGGTTTGTCTATCATTTGTTCTAGCTGTTACTTCTTGTTACAAGTGGCAGTAGTCAAATGCATTTGCCTTTAAATGCTTTTAATAAATACTCCTGAGGGCAGTTTTCCCTGGTACGGGATAATTCAAGGTAAGTGAAATGAAGGCAAGACCTTTGAGCTTGTATTTCAGGGAGCCACCAGACAGATCAAAACAAACAACTACATTCCTTGAGAACAAGAATTATTTTGTTTCTTCTGGTACTAGGAATCTATACTGAGAATACAGACTATTTTTTTCAATGGGTACTGCTGCGCTAGACAACTAAAATTCTGAATGAATGCTTTAAAGGAATGATTTAAATGACAAACAAAATTAAAACTAGTGACATAGTACTTTATCTTTTTTTTTTTTTTTTAACATAGAGTTAACTTTATCACGTATTATCACCAATTAGATTAACATTCTCCATTTTAAAAAGTCTTTCTAGAATAATTTCCAGGCAAAAGCACAGATACAATTACATTCAGAAGCAAAACACAGATGATAGTGAACACTACAGATTTTATCTCTTGTATGCAAAAAAGGGAAAGCGTTCTGCTAATGGCTCCAAGCCGCTTAGGAACAGACAAGAGAAAAAAAATATTTGTCTGGTGTCCTTCAAAACAACTTATTTTTGTATTTATCACACTTACTCATTGTTTAATTCTAAAGCTTGATAGGCTGCTTTGATTCGAGCTGGAGGATTTCTTTCCCTCCACGCCTTCTGCATAACTGTAGGAAAAATATTTTTAAAAGTAGATGAGATGGTAAACATACATAATCTTATGCAAAGTGTATGAAAAATGAACTCAGAGAGTAAATTCAGCTTTAAATAACATGTTCTTAAACGTAAGAAAACATTATATTACTTTACTAGCACACATGAACCTAAAGAAAAATTTACAGTTAATTTGGAAGTTTCATATATATTCTTTGATTGTATAGTTTCACATAGGTACTAAACCAAGCTATCACATCATTATTATACATGAACACCTAAATTCATATTAAGATTGAGTTTGAGTGACATCAGATTATAATAATAAAATATTTCAATTCGGCTTTTATCATGCTGAGAAGGATGGACCTGCTAAAGATGTACAAAACACTTAAAAAACAAAGTCTTTGTCTAATCAATGATTCTATCAAGGATATAAGTTTGGACTTGCATTTTCTATAAAAAGGGCAAAAGAAAGGAATTAATTTAGAATATAGTGCATCTCTGGAAAATGTCAGCTTCTACTAAAATTCAACAAAGCTTAACTTAGGGTCTCTATGAATATATTAGTTTTGCTATCATTTACTTTACTAAAATGAAGATTTCACACCATGTAAAGCTACTGAAAAATCAAATAAACAAATAAACACAGTGAATTCATAAAACTATTTGGCTTATTTCACATTTGATAAGAAAAATGAGAGATTTGCGAATGTTGCTTTTGGAACAAAATCTACAACTGTCCAGAAAGAATAATGTGGAAAATGTTTCAGTTTTCTTTTGGAAACAAAATATTAGTCTTGGCTTAGAAAAGGAGACAATATATTCCACTTGTGTAATAAAAATACATTTCTCATATCAAACATGTCACCAGCTAGCTGACAGCTAATGCTTCTTGAACTTGACAAATTGATGCAAGTCAGCACCCATCTGATAATGACCAGGTAAAGTACAGAATTCTGCTGAAACATGAAATTATTACATAAAAATAAAGTATACTATCGGATTTGCCATTTTAGACCATGGGGCTCTTTTCTATAAGTTACATGATATTTACAAACAAATTCTGACACTGAATCTTTACCAACACTTTAAATGGTTATTTGGTATTCTAATATATTAAATACTATGTACCATAGCTAACCAATTCCTTTTTTGATGGATAATTAACTTAAACCCAAATTTTTACATATGCAAAAACACTGTGATGATCATTTTTCAACATTTGTCTTTGCATATCTAACCAGATATTTACTTTCTAAAAGTAGAACTGTTGGTTTAAATGTATGCATCGTTTAAAAACTTTCATATATACTCCATTAAGATAATATTAATTAATATTTTTCCAAGCATTGTAGGAGAGTATGTTTCCCTACTTCCTTATGATCAACTGTTGTCAATTTTATACATGAAAATTATCTCATTTTACTTGCATTTCTTTTATTTCTAGTGAAGACATCTTGTCTACCTTTAAGCATTTTTTTCCTATTCATATGTAGCCTTTCAAGATTATGCCCCACAAGCAAAACAGTCCTAAATTCAGGACAGAAAAAAGAAAAAGAAAAATGTCCTTAAAAAGACAAAATTTTTAAACAAAATGCTCACTTAATATTCAATTGTCCTCTGTTATGCTCAAAAAATAATTCATACAAGTTGTTTACTCAAATTTATCAACTTCACAAGTTAAATAATATTCTAATCTGCTAACAAGCAGAAAAGAGAACAGCAGCTATTTTAAGATTAGGACTCGCAAATGTAAATGCCTACAAGTATCAGGTGTGAAGCATGGCTGAACACATGCATAGTTTAAAGAAGAGAGACACAATTGAGCTCTAGCTGATTACTGCCAAGTGGAAATGCAAACCCAGTTTTGCCACATTTCCCAATATTCAATAAAACCTGAATTTTAAAGTAAAATCTGACTTTTAAATATTGAAAAATATAAACACCATGGAAAGAAATAATCACAAACCAATGAAGGCTGGCCCTGAGGGTATATTTGAAAGAAAGGGATCTGAGCAAAATAAAGTCTTAGACAATTTCAATCTTTTCTCCATTAATATGGATGTTGTTTTTCAGTCCAGAGGTGAGGATTTTTATTTTCTTTACACTGAGGTGCAATCCATATGGAAGGCTGTGATAGTTGATCTTCATCAGTAAGTATTTTAAGTCCTCTTCGTTTTCAGCAAGCAAGACTGTATCATCTGCATACCGCAGGTTGTTAAGGAATCTTCCTCCGATCCTGATGCCACACTTTTCTTCATATAACCCAGCTTCTTGGATTATTTCTTCCTCAGTACACAGATTGAACAAGTATGGTAAACAAATACAACCCTGTCTTACACTGATCCTAACTTTAAACCATTCAGTGTTTCCTTGTTCTGTTCAAACAACTGCCTCTTGGTCTATATACAAGTTCCTCATGAACACAATTAAGTGTTCCAGAATACTCATATTTCAAAATTTTGTCCATAGTTTGTCATGATCCACACAGTGGAAAGCCTTTGTGTAGTTAATAACGTGCAAGTAAACATCTTTCTGGTATTCTCTGCTTTCAGCCAACATCTATCTGATGTCAGCAATGATATCCCTTGTTCCACGTCCTCTTCAGAAACCAGCTTGAACATCTGTAAGGTTTCTGTCAATGTATGTTTGCAGCTGTTTTGTATTACCTTTAGTAAAACTTTACTTGCATGGAATATCAATGATATTGTCTGATGTTTTCTGCACTCTATTGGGTCACCTCTCTTTGGAATGGCCACAAATACCGTTCTCTTCCAGTCAGTTGGCCAGGTAGTTATCTTCAAAATTTCTTAACATAGATGGGTGAGTGTCTCCAATATTGCATCAGTTTGTTGAAAGATTTCAGTTTGTATTCTATCAATTCCTGGTGCCTTGTTCTTTGCCAATACCTTCAATGTACCTTAAACTTCTTCCTTCAGGATCATTGGCTATTTATCATATGCTACCTCTTAAAATGGTTGAACATCGACCACTTCTTTTTGCTACAATGACCTTGTGTATTCCTTCCATCTTCTTTTGATGCTTTCTGTATCATTAAATAATTTGCCCAGAGAATCCTTTAATATGGCAAGTCGAAGCTTGAATTTTTTTCTTCAGTTCCCCCAGCTTGAGAAATACTGAGCATTTTTATCCCTTTTGGTTTTCTAATTCCAGGTCTTTGCACATTTTGTTATAATATTTGATTTTGCTCACTTGAGCTGTCCTTTGAAATTTTCTGTTCAGCTCTTGTACCTCCTCACTTCTTCCATTTGCTTAAACATCTACATTGGAGAACAAGTTTCAGAGTTTCTTCTGACATCCATTTTGGTCTTTTCCTTCTTTCTTATCTTCCTAATGACCTTTTGCTTTCTTCCTGTATGATGTTCTTAATGTCATCCCACAACTCTTCTGGTCTTCGGTTTTTAGTGTCTAATGCATCAAATCTGTTCTTTAGATGTTTTCTAAATTCAGGTGGGATATATTCAAGGTTATATTTTGGCTCTCATGGACTTGTTTTCAGTTTCTTCAGCTTAGGCGTGAATTTGCATATGAGCAATTGATGATCTGTCCCACAGTCTACTCCTGGCTTTGTTTTAGCTGATAATATGCAGTTTTTCCACCATCTCTTTCCACAGATGTAGTCAATTTGGTTTCTGTGTATTCCATCTGGTGAGGTCCATGTGTATAGTTGTCTTTTATGTTGTTTAAAAAAGGTATTTGCAATGAACAAATCATTGGTCTTGCAAAATTCTATCATGTGATCTCTAGCATTGTTTCTATGAACACCAACGCCATATTTTCCAACTATTGATCCTTCCACTTTGTTTCCAATGTTTGAATTCTAATCACTAGTAATTATCAATACATTTTGATTGCATGTTTGATTGAGTCCAGACTGAAGAAGTTGGTAGAATTCTTCAATTTCATCATCACTGGCTTTAGTGGTTGGTGTGTAAATTAGAATAATAGTGGTATTAATTGGTCTTCCTTGTGTGTGTATGGATATTATCCTATCACAGACAGCGTTTTACTTCAAAACTGTTCTTGATATGTTCTTTTTGATTATGAATCCAACATTATTCCTCTTCAATTTGTCATTCTTGGCATAGTAAACCAGATAATTGTCAGGTTCAAAATGGCCAATACCAGTCCATTTCAGCTCAGTAATGACCAGGATATTGATGTTTTTATGTGTTCCATTTTATTTTTGACACTTTTAAATTTTTCTAGATTCCTACTCTGTACATTCCATGTTCCGATTATTAATGGATTTTGACAGTTGTTTCTCTTCATTTTAAGATGTGTCCCATCAGCAAATGAATGTCCCGAGGGCTTTACTCCATTCACATCATCACAGTCAACTCCACTTTGAGGCGTCAGCTCTTCCCCAGTCGCATTCTGAGTACCTTCCAACCTGAGAGACTCATCTTTCGGCATTATATCTGATAGTGTTCTACTGCCATTCATACGGTTTTCAGTGACTAAATATTCGTACGTAGTCCATCTCTCCTTCTTCCTAGTCTGTATTTGTCTGGAAGCTCATCTGAAACCTGTCCACCATGGGTGACCCTGTTGGTATTCAAAATACCTGCAGAATAGCTTCCAGAATCACAGCAACACACAGCCACCACAGTACAACAAAGTGACACACAAGTGGTAAAAAAAATAGCCACCAGATACATGAAAAGATACTTACCATCATTAGCCACCATAGAGATGCAAATGAAAACCACAATGAGATACCATTTCACTCCCACTAGGATGGCACCAACCACTAAAGCCAATAATGATGAAATTAAAGAATTCTACCAACTTCTTCAGTTTAAAATTGATCAAACATGCACTCAAGATGCATTGATAATTATTGGTGAATGGGTTGAAAAAGTTGGAAACTAAGAGGAAGAATCAGTAGTTAGAAAATACTGCCTGGGTGATAGAATTTTACAAGATCAATGATTTATTCATTGCAAATCCCTTTTCACAACAAAATAAATGGCAGCTATACACATGG